TTACTGAGGTGAGTAGAATTTTAAAAAGTTTTGTAAAACAAAAAAAAAACTATTGGGTTTATAACTATATTCTTGCGGATTTTTTTAAAATTTAGAAGTTTATTTAGGATAAACATGTACAATAATATTATTCAAAACATTGGCTATCTGAAGCTATAAACTTTTCCCATCTTAGTGGCAATTCCATCCCAAAAAAAATGCACCGGTTTGGCGTTTAAGAATGAATCAAGCCAATTTTTGATAATTTTTTCTGTTGTGAACCGTTTTTCAATGAAGGCGTTCTGCATCGACCGGAATAAATGGTATTCAGAAGAGACTAGGTCTGGGCTATAAAGCAAAGCGTCACGGTCGGTGTTTTCCAAATAGTTTTTAACCGATGTTGCAAAATGAGACCGACTGCCAATTTAGAAAATTAAAACCTCGTTTCTAGTCGGAAATTCCGGACGGTTTCCGGCAATCGGTCGGCTCAATTTGATGAAGTGTTGTCAGTAGCGTTCCCCATATTTGGATTCACTCGGTTTTAAAAGCTCATAATACTCTTCTGATCCCTCTTAGCTTCAATTCTTCATCCAATAATGTTTCCAGTTTCTCATTTTTACAGTGTATAGAAGAACTTCCAGTAAAAGCACTTTTTCAGCACAAAGTTTCACTTGAGTGAAAAAAAAGTTTCCGACGCATGTTTGGAATAATAATAAAGTTACGCCATCTTTTGGCAAACCACACGAATATAACTTTAGTTACTAATACTTATACATATATTCATTACTTATTCTAATTAGGACAAAAAGGTTGTCGTAGTAGTGAGCCAAATATTATTTTAATGTTCAAAAAAAAAAATGATCTTAGATTTAAGTAAAATCAAAATGTTTTAAGTATCTTAACCATAAAAGGGCTAGGCTATTAATGTTTTTGAATGACTTTATTAATTTTTTTATGATTTTTGATATTTTATAGATTTTATGTTCAATATTGTTGTTATATTATGAAAACCAAAAAATTGTCTACACTGAAAGAAATAAGTTTGAAACAGTACATACATATGTAGGTATGTATATAAGCGCTGTATCCAAACATAATCATCAATGCTATTTGATGACTTAATATTTGAACAAAAAAAATGACCAAAACGCTTTCTAAGTAGTTTTAGTTTTAATTTTCGACAGCAAGCCCAAATTCCGACAGCATGTTTTCTTCGGCGAATTGTCGATACTTTTTATGTGACAACAGATTTGGTACGTTTTACGACTATTTCCATGCCTTTTATGATTATTCTATAAAAGTGTTGGTGCACTCGTTCAATACTTGTTTGAGCATGCGGTACAATAAATACATAATTTATTAATTATAGCTTACACACCCCGGTCGTGACACACAGCGCGCTGTCATAAATCATTCTGTACATCTCAAACACAGAACCAAAAACGAAACACATACAATACGTACACACATATACATTATAGTAAAAAGAATATAAAGAAAGTGTTATGCAATCCAAAAGGCAGCTCAAATTACCCAATTGAAAATACCGAGAAATCGCATCATTCGAGCGGGCTTCGCGCACTACACCCGAAAACAAGAAGCGTATACAGCTTCACTCCCATATATATCTTCCAATACATTGGCAAGTTAGTGTCTTATCAAAGCTAATTACTAGCAAAGAAGTTGCACAATTTCACAGTTTAAAGCCACAATTTCTCGCGTCCCACTCGGCTGCATCGACGGCCGAACTTAAGAGTTTAATTGCCTTCAATTGTTTAATGGTGTTGGAGTCTGCTCTGCATTTCAAGTGGCTTTTATTTTGTACGCTTCAGTTCTTAAATTGCATTTTTGACACTCGCCGAGTTGTCGATCAGGCGGCCTGCCGGCAGTCAGCGGCGACCCGAACTGTCACTGATTCACCCCAACTTGACTGCGCTCTGTAGGCCACTAATTTAGGCGCTTTGTGTTGTCTTTTTATTTCTCACAAAGCTATTCTTGGATGGTTTATGACCAACGCAGACTCACTTAAAAGCAATCGTAAAAGCTTAAAACGCTGCTGAGAATTAAACGGGTTTCAAACGCTCGCCTTGTTGTTGTTTCAATAATTTATGTGCTTGCTAAGCAGTTAACGGTTTTAATTTCGCTCAAAGCGGCCCGGCGGTGCTGTGGGTGGCAACCGCGGGCGTATTTTGGAATTTCTTAGCACGCGCCTCTGTTTCGATTGTTTATTTATTAATATTTTTTTTAGATGAAATGAAATTGAAAAAAGATAACAACATATGTATGAGTAAAGCTACACTTTTTTTTATTTGTTTAAATGTTTTAAATGAATTTATGGCTTCTTAATATGAAAATCGTGGTCGAATTTTTGTTTTATTTCGTTTTAATTGCCTTAGGAGTTAAGGCGGGTAAATAGTAGTGACGTTATCATAACCGTCGTGTAGGTGTGTGAGTGTGTTCGTACTGTGAAGAGAGTTAAGCTGCTTAGCTGTGTTATTTATGGTTGTTGGAGATAAAATAATAACTGTAGTATTATTTACTATGCCTTCGTGGAGATATGCGGGACAGATGTGGACTTCGCAAATGCCATTCATGCATATATCCAACTTAAATGCATTATTAAATAACTTGACCTTCCTCTATCTGTCTGTTTGTACATTTTGCGAGGTATAAGGAGGTTAGAATAATATTGATCTACTATATGACGGGTTGAATTAAGATCAACATTAAAATAAATATTTATATAAATTTAATTTCATTTGGAAACAAAGGGTCCAGAATATATTTCACCTCAACCTGTGATGTGTTCACTTTGAAAGCTTTCAATGTTATCAAATTATATTTCAATGCCAATATTCCGGCTATAAGGTCAGCTGTTTCCACTTCCGTATCACGCTTCAAACATTTTGATAACTTTTTAAGCGAGTTGCCTTGTTATGGCACATTGTCGAAACGAGTGCATATGTTGACTTAAGCTGGGAACATATGGATAAAGAAATGTTAAATGTTTTAGAAAACAACACCAAATAGTGAAATGGAGTTACAGCAAGGTCATTGGTAAGACAGGATACCGGTCGGTAGAAAATTATGCGATTTTGTGACAAAGGAGACTTATTGCGTCCATCAATGACTCTGAAATAATTCGTAGTTTTATGAACTACCAACTGATCAAAATTGATAAAAAAAAACTTAATTTTCTCGTATTTTAATACAAATATCAAAATAGTATCCTGAGCCAATACAAGCATGCCGACGCTTAATACAATTTCCACAAGTGTATGGATATAAGTTATGGTATAAGCCTCGACTGGCATTCAGTATCTTCAGAAAATTTTGGATTTTTACCTTCCGCTCATTTTTGGAGCGCCATTCACTAGATTGTTGTCTTTTATGACCTTGGCGTCGTTTATGCCAAAGATACTGGTCTTTTGGTACGAGTCTAGTCCCAAAACTATAACCAACTGTGTTGAGTAGCTATATCGACGATTTTTAGGCATTGTTAAAGCTACATAAAAAGAGGGTGTACCAATCTGGGAATACAATTTTATCGATTTGGTTTGCGCGCGTGGTTTAAATGTACCAGTCCGAGTCAAATTTAATTAGATAGTATATATTGTGTTAAATATGGGACTTTTAAACTACCTGTTTATTGTCTAGTCAAAGCAAATTTTTCAGTTGTTGATTAAAGTAATTCTTTTTTGTTTTTTCGTATTACTTTTGTGAATCTTTTGTTTATATTTTTAACTTAAGTTAGCTAGTAAGTATTTGCACTAGGTGATATTTACCTCGAACCCAACCCATAAATTCTTGCACGCAACTGATTCTTACGCTCACCGTGAGTTTTAACTAAGATCAGTATCCGTGGAATTCGCGGTTGCGGTCAAACGTCAAGCGACTCCAACCGTCAGCTGTCAATTGCGTCAACACAGATAGCCGCAACTTGTGACAGTAAGTCAAACTAAGTATATTTAGTATTAGTATTAATTTATCAATGAAAATATTTCTAATATTTAAGTAACAGCAGTTAATTGTTTCCCACACACATTCACCACTGACTACCGATTGCATCGCTTATCGGCTCATTGCTTAACCCTTCACATTGCCTAGTGGCATTTTGAGCACACAACATGTAACATATGTATGTCCACATGTATGTATGTGGTTGTGATTTCTGGTTGCACATTGCGTGCTCACATGTCATGACAGTGATTTTTCATGTTTCATTTTTTCATGTTGTTGTTACTGTATGCTCGATTGTTTGTTGTGATTTTTTCTAATGATGTCTATTTGTATTTATCACGTTATAATTTGTTGTTGTTGCGCTTTTCTGGTTTCGTCAAATGTCATAATTCTAACGGTTCGCTTGATTGAAGGTTGGCATAACATTTCCATTGACATTTGGTGGTCAATAGTAACTGAATGTTGCGTGTTCGTGATGCATCTATGACAAGTGAACTTAAGACTACTGACGGCAGGCATGTCTTCAAATGAATAGGCGTACATACATACATATGTATGTATACAATTTGAGGGTAGGCACATCTGGAGGCAAGATGCATATAAGAATTATTAATGCATATAAGTATTATAATTTATATTTGAAACTATTTGATATTCGTGGTGCTATATGGGGTACAAGGGACTTGGTATTAAATCACTCACTGAAGCTTGGGGATAGACACTCACTAAACTTCGTTTGCTATTTGTGTTGGTCACGGTGAAGTTAAAAGTTCTCTTAGGGTTAGGTGCATTTACGGTACTTAGCTCGACATACGATTTTAAGGCACCTTCGATAAGGTGCTGGGTTTCGCTAAACGCGCCCGTCAGTAGAAAAATCTTTGTTCAGCTCCATCGAAACTCATATTTGCATTTAAAACCGGATTTTAAATGATATTATATTTTATAAAGCGATTCTTCACAGGTTTCTAGAAATCTTCACTTAGAAGTTTGTAGCAAATAAAAATTTTATTAAATATTGAGGAAAACAATGTTTTATTTCAAATTTTATTAAATACTTTTTTGGACTTTTGGACATTTGTCGTAACATAAATATATATGGTATGTGTGATTTCGTTTATGCATATCTATATAAAATATAATACTAATACTATAAAATAACTAAATTATAAATACTTTAAAGTCTTGATCTCTCAATAGCTTTTTATTTATCACCAACCTCTGCCTTTTACTCGTTTTGTACATTTTCCAAATGTTCGACTGCTTTCTCTACAGTAACTTGCTTGCACACAGCTTTTTCTGCGTCCTTCTCTTGCTGAAAGTCCACCGAGTTCCATGTCTGCGTTTCCGATGTGCCCCAAATAATGTAAAACAGATTGCCTAGAAAGAAAATCACGGCGGATATTGCGAAGATTATTTGCCACTGCGTGCGATTGTGCTGTTATTGCGTAGAAAAATATTTAATACAGAGAATTTTAGTTTACACTTTTCAAAGAGTTATTTACCTTATCTGTTACAATAACGCCAACAAGTAGCGGCGAGAGGATTGGCACAATATTCACGATAGTATTAGATAAGCCCATTAGTATGCCCGCGTGATTAGGCGCCAGGTCGATGGTGTTAAGCGTGCAGCCTATGGTTGAGCCGCCATTGATGCCCACATTGAGTGTCATCAACACGATAGCCAGTGTTTGTTGAGATGAGTCTAAGAAACCGATACTAATAAGCAAGAGCGCCGGTATCCACAGTGAGATCGTATTGATTGTTTTGCGCATCGCTGTCAGGGTGAGTATATTTCGTTTGGTGAGTAGATTTGCTATCACCAAGTAGACGTATAATGAAAGCCACATTGTCAGGTAGGGCAGTGCCGAGAATAGACCGTTCTTCTTGATTTCCATATTCAGTACGCCATGCATGTAGGAAGGTATTTGTGCTTGCAATGTGGTGAAACCCCAAGCCTCAGCACAACGTCCCACGAGGAAGGCTAGAAACGGTACTGAAGTGAAGATTGCACGCCAAGGTACTGGTATTTTTTGTTTGTGAAAGTCATCATTGCGTTCCAGTGATGTTTCAATGTACTTGCACTCCTGTGGCGAGATGAATTTTGAGGAAGGCGCGTTATCTGAGGCGAATACAAGCCAAACTGCACACCAAAAAAAGCATAGTGACGCAGACACATAAGAAATACCAGGCCAGCCCAGCGAACTGCTAGCAATGAAACCGCTTGACGCCAATGCTATAACTGTACCGCAGTCAGTGCCAGACAGACTTAGCGCTCCTAAAAGATTGCGTTCATGCAGTGGCGACCACTTGGCGAGGTGGTCGTGTATGGCAGGAAAGATAACTCCTTGGAAGAGACCCTGTAACAGACGTATGACACAAAATATGGGCCAACCGCCGAGCCGTACACAGGCAGGCGTTATAAAACTGCAAACAGCGGAGGCGAATGTGGCGATGAGTATAGTTATTTTGGCGCCGAAACGACGACTCAAATACCCACCGGGAAACTGTGTGAGCACATAGCCCCAATAGAAGCTGGAGAGTATGTAGGATTTGTGCTGCTCATTCCAGTCAAAATCCTTTAAATAACATATTCTTAGTACAGTATAGTAGAATTTAATATGTTCCGGAACTTACCGGAAAATCTGGATTCGTTGTATTGGCGTTTGTCATTGCTACTATAGCCACGGATACATTTACACGACTCACATAGACCACAATTATATTGAAAAAGAGCAGCAGGGCCTGCAGGTGCCGTATTCCAAAGGGAGGCGCTAAAAATTATTTTGAAGAAGGGAGTTAGTTAGTATCTCCACTTTTTAATTTAAGAGCTTATATTATTTGAAAAATCAATAATATTTGTTTTTGTGTTTTTGCTCGAGGTGTATTATTTTAATCACGATTGTTTAACCCTTATGTTAGTAACCAACTTTACCGACGTCTTTTAGCAACCGGGTACCGGAGTACCACGATCTGAGTATTATTATTATTTTGTTTATTTTATTTTAAAAAAAATTTTCTAAAAAATTGTTTTCTTCAAATATTAATAGTCAGTGACAATTTAAAGAAAAAAAGATAACAACGTAGAATAAAAAAAAAATGAACTCACCAATAGCTTTCTTCTAAGTTAAAAAACGACGATTTGAGAGCTTAAAATGATATATTGAATTTTTTAAGCTATTCATACAAATACACCGCGGTCAGTACCCGGTTACTAACATAAGGGTTAAGCTGGTGACAAATTTCCGTGTGCAGCAAGCTTATGAATGCAATGTTGATACATTAGCCTAGTCCACATTTGAAGAATTTTATTTGAACTCAAATATCGAAAGTTATGACCTACTTAGTTCATTTTCGTGCAACTAGATTTAAACTGCACAAGTAGTATCAGTTTCTTTGCACGCTATGCTCTTTGAAAACAGTTTCGGAGTCATGTCTAATTACAAGGCATGAAACATACTTAATAAAATATTAAAGAAATTAGGTTAATGGTGTAGTGTTGTTTTTGCTTTTGTTGTCTTAAGACTGTGACCGATATATTTTTCACACAAACATTACTTAAACGTCACTTGGTGTTGGTCTATTTTAATGATTTTCTTTTCTGATTTTATTGATAGTTTTTTTTTATAGAGTTGCACCAAAATTTCCATTGCTTTTTCTTTTGATTAGTAGATTTCATGGCAGTCTCGAGATTATGCAATACAAGTACAAATAAACTTAATATCTTTTTGAATTTCAATTAACTGTCTTTAGCATTCATCATTCTCATTAGGTAAATATTTTTTTACAAACCGTTTGTCGAAGGAGTCACCATTTGATTACTGTTATTTGTTTCTTTTTCCTTTTTTGGTTTATTTTAAAACTGTTTTCCGAATTTTTAGCGCACTTGTCAGCATATGTTCAATCGATTATGTTTCTTATTAAACATAAAGAATTCCAAGCTGTGCAAGAGTTTTTAAAAGACTGATGACTGATCACCGGACCATGCAAACATTGCCTTTCGTCATTTATTTATTTTGATAAAATATATTCACCAACGACATGTTTTTGCTGTTAGTACTGATGCTTTTGCCTAATTAACAACTATTGTAGAACAAATGTCGCATGCTTGTAAAACAACTTCTCAGTTTAGATGCAATTCATTGCTCCTCAAACTCCAAGAATGTATGACGTAAAAGCGTTATTCATTTCCCATTTAAAATGCTTACGTTTTTCCATTGCTTGATTTCTGGTTCTCTAATCGCAAACCGTTCTGTGTTTAACGTGTTCTTTACGCGGCCCTGTTTCGAAATGTTTTAAGTAAAAAATCTGCAAACGTTCGGACAATATATCCTAACTTTATATTTATAATCGCTAAATATTTGAACAACTGTCACCGATCGAGAAACGTTGTGGGTATTGTGTTGGTACTGCGAAAAAAGTACGTCCAATTTGAGGTTATACGTCATTTTGGTTTGATAAATATTAGTACAAAAGAAAAACAAAAATAACTGTATTTACTGGAGGAAATCCTTCATACTTTTAAGAAAAACTGAGACAAACTTATACGAATTACTCACACTTTCGATTACCTATAAGTACACCTCGTCACTCACTTTTATTAAATGCGTCATTACATATAAATATTTTCGAAATAATAATTATTTTAACTGGGCAAATATATTTTCAGTATTCTAAATAACCAACGGGTGTTTGTAATCATTATAGATGTGCGCATTCGATTTGTAGAGAAAGTTTGGTTGGTCGGTTGCACCGTTTGTATGACGGCTATATGCTATAGTGGTGCGATATCGACCGTTCCGACAAATGAGCAGCTCCTTAGTGAGATAAGGACAGATGCAAAATTTAATATCGATAGCTTGATTTGTAACCTTACTGCATTTAAGCCTATTGAACAGTGGCTAGTCAGAATGCCTACCATCGCTACTTGTTGAATCTTACTAAGAGCAAGTAGTTTAGAGGAACTCTCACGTTTCCTTTTGAGCTAGAAAAAGCCTCACAAGTTTTGGTTGTTAACCAGCGCTAGCACTCACGGAAGGTTGATACATCTAACTGGAGGACAGCGGTGTACCGACTCGAACTCGACTCGACTGTCAATCTGTTGATATATGGGTAAGGGTTCTCTTTCTAGCGCATTGCTTTGGAATTTCCTGCGATTCCGCTATGATCCAGCATCCAAACAAGTCTGACATCAATATAGATAGCTTGATGCTATTGATGGAGATGTCAAAGGCTTTGCCAGGTTTTGAGCGCACTGTCAGCGAGCTTAAGGTCAGTATTGTAGCTCTGCTATCAGAGTGAATGAAAACCTCTCTGAGGGAAGTAGCACTTCGGGGCTGTACATCTACAGCTACCTTAATAGTAGTGACGACACACTGCAGTGGTCTGGTAGCCTGCAGCTAGAGTTGATGGAGAGCTCCCGACAGAAGACTGCATCCCCTACATTTCCCTAAGCTTCGATCAATCCGTGAAAAAGCCAACTGCTCCTCTTCTACAGCCGCTTTGCCTCGCCCACATATCTCTTCCACGTATTTGCGCAGAGAAGGAACCGCTCGGCAAAGGTTACGCAATGCAGTGGTCCAAGTTACCATCGCACCAATCGAATAGCGATAGAATCATATACCCAGCTCCCCTGAGTCTTATAGCAGCTTTTGCCGGTGGGACTTAAAACTTCAAACTTTTCCATATTAGAACCCCTGCTCTTTCTACGGATATGAAAAGTTGTGACGTTCGAAGAAATAGGCTCAAAATTCTTTTGGAAAGTTTTCTCGGATCGGCCGATGTTCGTTTAAGGCAGAAAGGGACTAATCACATCTCGTAGTGTTGGGAAACTTTATGGGGAACGATTTTGAAAGCGTTCCAAACTTTTTCAATCCATCGCTCTACTTATGGCTTATTGAGTTGAGAAATTGGCTTTAATTTATAAATGAGAAATGTGTTCTTCGTCGTCAATAAATTAGAAAGAAGCAGTAAAAACTCTTGAATTTAACTGGCGGCATTGCCAACTCTATTAATCTATTTTAAAAAAGGTATTTTTGCACAACAAACTTTTCGCCAAGTCTAGTAAACACATGCCAAATTATCTACGCAAAAGTAAAAACAAATAAGAATCGAAATGAAAACATTTGAACAGATGTATTTACAGTAATATCAAACAGCCTTTCTGACGACTTTGTATTTCAATGTAAGGCGCTAGATTTTAGACCAAACGTAGCAGGACTAAATTATTTGCGAACTGCAACTTATGGGCTATTTAAATTAGCCCAATAAACGACTTTGGCAGCTGAATTTTTGTGGAGTACAATAATTTGTCGATATGTGTTTACTACTTGCCATTAGTCTACATCGCTTGTCATCTTTGTTTTCACAAAATCAATTTTTCTTCTGCGGTGCGGCGGTGTGAAGAGAGCGAGCAAAGCTACTCTATTTTTCAACACTTCATTAGTTCAATTCACTTATGATTTCAATTTGCATTGCAACATCTTCATTTTCATCTTCATCTGTGCGCACACCATTACAGCAGGCATTTTTTAAAATCCATACACAACATTCGAATTATATACAAAACATATATGTATGTATATTATAAGCACATATACTTGTACTATACATTGGCATTTATGCTTTGCTGCCGCCGTCACTTGTTGCTGATGATTTTGCACTTCATTTGTTTGCTTTGATTGGGCGCCTTCGAACAGCTTCCAGCAACTAATCTGCTTCACACACAGCTGCATACATTAAGTACATATGTACATACATATTTATAGCGCCACTGCAGGTTCAAAAAAGCCGCCTGCAGCTTGGACGTCTTCTTATTTTGCAATTTTGAAGACGCTTACATATCTATAAAAATTATTTTCATCGGGATGGAAGAATTTCCATTAATGTCGATACAAGTATACTGTTATATAGATAATCTCTGACGTACTGAAGTGCCTTAATTTGAAAATGAAGTTTTTGAGCTGAATAAATAGTACATACTTATGTATTTGTAAATCATATTGTACTTTTGTTCAATAAGTTTTAATCGAAAAGAGTTCAAGTCATGAAGAAAAATATGCAACATTTAAATATTTTTTTTAAGATTATACTTAGTAATGTATTGATTAAATATACATATTTCTCTTCTTTTTTCAGACTGTGTCTCCTTTTTCTGCTGATTATTACCATAGTTGGTGCAGACATATCAACTGTAGAACGAATACGGGTAAGTCCAGAAAGACAAAAATCAAGTAAGAATATTTGGGTTAAAAGTCTTTCAAAAGGAGAGTTTACTTAACATTTAAAAACTACACATTCTCTACATACTTAGTAAATAAACATGTACGAGGTGTGTTAAAAAAGTAACGGAGTTTTCGTTGTTTGAAAATCATATTTATTGGTTTGTCTACATTAATGTTTTCGCCTTCAAAATAGTCCCCATTCGATGCACCTGTGTCAGCGTTTCTTCCAATCTTCTCAATTCTCTCAATTCGATTTTTGGGATAGCATTTAGCTTTTTTAGCGCTGCGCTTTAAGTGTCTTCTATGCTTGTAAACCGACGGCTCTTTAAGGTTCTCTTTATTTTGAAATAGTTACAAGGAGCCGTTTTTGGAGAATTTGTTTTTGGCCACAAATCCACTAGCAAATTTTTTGATTAATTTCTTTTAATTCTAGTCTAGAGACATGAATTTTAGGTAATTTTTAAAGTGTCGTTATAAAAATTCAATCAATATTTTTATTTATTTATTAATGGTTTTCAATAATGTTACAAGATTACAGGAAAAAA